AAATACATTTTTGAAAATTGTTGTCCACCATCTTGGATTTAGAAATTAATGCTGCATTCGTAATAAGCACTCTAAAACTCCTCGAAAACGTCTATAAATAATTCTCAATCGTTACTGTCGATCGACAATGTCGAGGAAATCTGTAGGCACCTTATTAAATGCTACCCAATTCTTATTTAACTCATATATGAACAAAAACCTACAAGCGAGTTTAAGTGCGACTATCGAATTTGAATATATAAGTAGCCTGATATTATCTGTGGGTATGTTTACATGAAAAGTACACGATAACAATTAAGAACCTGAAAGTTGTTTATACACGATTTTGGAGAACTGACGATGACTTTTTAGTCAGTGTTAGTTTCCTGAAATAATTTTAGTTAAGAATTTTTGACTCTGGGCAAGATAATTTTTTTAAATGAGTGTATGATGAACAAGAATAATGATTTTTCACATGAAACTAATGAAGGCAAATACTAAATATATTTCGTAAAAATAGCTAACCTAAATTCCCTACAATGTTGTTGCGGCGTTGTACATTTGTAGAAATTTTGCAACCGTCGCGATATTGCCTATTCTCAAAAAATTACGTAATATAATTATTTTGAAACAGAATAGCAAAATGGGGAGAAAAAACCCGTTACTTTGCAACAGTTTCGCATCTTGTTGCAACGAAATTAATTTTCTGTTTTAGTGAATATTTATATAAAAATACAAGTTGAAACACGTTACTTCCTTGTGGAATGTGATATTAGTGTCTATTTTATATTTGTCTGATCTATTTTTAAACCCAATTACCGCACATTTCGTCATTTTTAGCAAAAATTTTTGAGCTGCTCGCGGTGCAACATGACCTTGAGCACTGACAGCCCGCTCGCTCGTGTAAGCCCGTAGGGCGTCCTACAATTTGCCTCACTTAGCGTGTGCGGGCTAGGTTTCTATGCGTTATTATTCTAAGGAAAATCCCATAAAACCCATCGTCACTCGCCTTTGTGCCTTCTATGTCTAAAAAATTTTCGAATGAAGCAATGAAGCCTTCAAGACTGCAAGATCATTTAAATAAAATGCATCCAGATAAGAAAGATAAGAATGTAGCATATTTTCAAGACCTAGAGAAGAAGCATAATACTCAGCCAATTGAGCATACCTGTTTTCGGCGGCTGCTAAGCAAGATGACGACGGACTTCGAGCTTCGTACAATATGTCTTTGTTAATTGCTCAAAATATCGGAGGAGAGTTAATTTTGCCAGCAATAATATAACAGTAGTTATTACTTCCTTTAGTGTAAATATTATCCGAAAAATTACTTTGAGTAATAATTTTGTGCAAAGACGAATTGATTAAATGGCTGAAAACATTGAAAAAATCATTGTGCAATCATCTGAGGACTAGTCAATTCTCAATTCAGCTCGATAAGTCCACTTTACCAACTAATGAAGCATTGTTGTTGTCTTTTAGTTAATGTCTTTTTGGTTTATTCAAGATGAGAAAATATCTGAAGAAACTATTGTTTCTAGAAATTTAGAGACCGATACAAAAGGCAGAACCATATTCAATACATTGGAAAAGTCGTTCCAGTTCGTCGGTCCAGAAGGAATTCCAGCAATAGTCCTACGTAACTGTGCGCCTGAGTTGTCTCCTATTCTCACCGCCTGTGCCGCCTCGCACTTGAGACTGGTGTAGTTCCCAGGTCATGGAAGCTTGCAAACGTGCAACCTGCGCTATAAAAAAGGAAGCAGAGCTGACCCTGTCAATTAAAGACCTATCCATAGTCACTTCCATACTCTGCAAGACTATGGAACGTATACTCAACAACCGTCTCCTGTCGTACCTTGAAAACAACGACGTCGTCAGTGATCGCCAGTACGGATTCCGACGAGGGCGATCTACTGGAGATCTTCTTGTGTATGCCTATCACATATGGAGCGAGGCTATAGAAAAGCAAGGCCAAGCACTTGCAGTGTCTTTAGAGTCTTTTTCTAAAGCCTTTGACATGGTCTGGCACGCAAGTCTTTTAAGTAAACTTCCCTCTTATGGACTTCCCACTGACCTTTGCAATTGGATCTCGGATTTATTGAGCGGACGTTCGATTCGAGTAGTCTTAGGGTCATATTCCAGATTTCTACTCAATACTCAAGTCAGGACTTGAGTATTGCAGTGAGCACTGAAAATCATACTCAAGTCCTTGCCATTAGGGTCGTATTTCCTGTGCTTGAAATCATACTCAAGTCTGCTCAAATCCTGACTTGAGCATTGAGTAGAGTTCTGGAATACGACCCTTAGAAGGCGACTCTTCCGACATAATTATGGCGATAGAGTTAGGTTAGCTAGGCCGGATCTCCTCAGAGTTCCGTACTGTCTGCAACTCTCTTTCTACTGCGTATCATTACACGTTAATTCCAGGTACTTTTGCGTATGCTGAAAGCAGCACAGTTAATGTCCTTTCTTTCTTCTAAGAAGTTGTTTTCACCGTTTCAGTATGGTTTTCGTCCTGGGCATAGCACTGTGACTGCACTGTTGAAGGTAACGAAATAATATTCGCCTCGCAATGGACAATCGTCTTCTCACTTTGCTTATTCTTCTGGACTTCAGCAGTGCATTCAACTCTGTTGACTATGACGTTCATGCGATTCGATGTTCCTTCAATGTTTCTCCTTCGGTTACGGCTTGGTTTGATTCCTACCTTAGAGGCCGACTGCAATGTGTTCGCTCTGATGAGGCTTCATCTGATTGGTGTCACTTAGCTGTGGGCATCCCTCAGGGTGGCGTACTTTCTCCTCTTTTATTCTCTATTTTTATTAACTCTGTCACTTCTGTTTTATCCTCTATCTTTCATCTCTACCCTGGACGATTTGCAGCTCTACCGCAGCTTTAAGCCATCTGATTGTTACAGCCGTTGAAGCGGTTAACGCTGGCTTACGAAGCATCGCCCTTTGGCTTGGTAGTGAATCCCAAAAAGTCGCAGGTTATGATTGTGGGAAGTGGGCATATGCGTGGCACATTGAATCTTTGGGCCGAGTTCTCTTTGGCTTGGTAGTGAATCCCAAAAAGTCGCAGGCTATGATTGTGGAAAGTGGGGGGCATATGCGTGGCACATTGGATCTAAATTCTGTTCCACTTATAAAGTATAACTCCACGCCTATAGCTTATGCACCCACTGCAACTAATCTTGGTCTACTTTTAGATTGCAATTTGGCTTGGTCACCTCATATCAATGAAATCAGTCGAAAAGTCCATTTCTCCTTGCACACACTTAAGCGTCTCCAACACTATTTACCTTTTAAATCTAAGATGTATTTAGCCCAATCTCTTATTTTACCCTTCTTAGACTATGCTGATTCCTGCTATTTGGATGCTACAGAAAAGCTGCTAAATAAGCTTGAACAGTTGCAAAATCTTAAGTATCAGGTTTATCTTTGGTCTTCGTAAATTTGTCCGAATCTCACATTATCGCAATCAACTCATGTGGTTTCCCATTCGTCTCCGCAGGAATTTGCGTATTGTCTTTGTTGTCTATAATATTCTTCATAACCCTTCGTCTCCCGCGTATTTGAAAAAGTGTTTCAGCTTTCTCAGGTCTCAGGATAAACCCTGTCGCTCTCTTCTTAGGTCCCAGTTGTCTTTTCCTTCCTTCCTTCCTCACTCCTTCAGTGTTCATGCAGTCAGACTGGAACGCACTCCCTAATTCTGTTCACGAATGCCCATCATTAGCTACTTTTAAATTGAGAGTTAAGGAGCATTATTTATCTACTGTTCCATCCAGTTTATAGGTATTCTATTCTGAAATATGTATTTATACAAGTATTTATCTAGTTTAATGTTAAATATTGTATTACATAGTTTTGTATTTTGTACGAGTAAGCCCGTTATTACGATTATTTTGTCCTGTATTTAGGTCTGCAGTAAGAAATTTCTTATAGAAATAAGCAGTACCTTTTGTTTGTGTTTTCCTTTTATTAAATGTTTTCTGCTTTTTCCTGTGCAATAAATATTATAAAAAAAAAATATATTTTTCTCTCTAAATCAATGTACATTTAATATAGTCTGTTAGTTCACGGGGCTTCTTCCTTCCTCATGAATCACTCTGTCTATTGGTGGAAAGCGCATGAAAATTCGTTCAGTAGTTGAGTTTATCGCGATAAGACAGACGCGGTAGGGATGACATGTAGTGATTATACATTACAGATATGTAACATATCTATATTTTATACATAAAATGTACGAAAGTGATTTAGGAAGATTATTGTTGCGGTGCAGTGCGGCCCGCCATAATGTGCGTGAGCCTTTGGAATATTTAGGTACTTTGAGTTATTTCTTGTTATCAATTGTAAGTCAATGTTATCATCAGTGAATTTTTGTCACGATTGGCCGCCCTAGGCCCGGGCCTACTGGGCCTTAGGGCAAATCCGACCATGGTTACGGGCCACCGCTTCCAAATCAAACATCCAATGCCTGCAAAGAACCTCTTAGAACATTCTTTCTTCGAACTATCAGTGGTGCCACATGGTACACCAGGAACGCTGAAATCCAAGAATACCTGGAGATTCCAACGATTTTAGAAATGTTAGACCTATATACACATAAACACAGGGATCGGCTCAATACTCATCCGAATCCTCTCGCTGAAGCAGTGTTTGATGGTGGCAGCTTTATGTGGTCTGTGGTGGCAGCAGTAGCAGGCTGGAGCGACATCATGTGTTCGATGACTAAGAGAGGCTGAAGTAGTAGCTTCCTTGCTCTCAAACGCCAAAATTCACTCAAACAATTTAATTATAGTCTAACGACTGATTGTAAATGATAAATTTGAAAAATAAATACACACATTTGCCCAGAATCTCGCTGCCGTGAGCGGCTTTGTATTGCGTCTCAACATTCTGCCTTAATCCTGAAATCATCTACCCCTTACCGACTTCTATTCCGACCGTTCGTTTTATTTATAACACATAAGCATGACAATGCATACGTATACAAACGTATCTACTCCCGCATGACTGCTGCAGGATGGTGGGCGACGGGCAACGAGGTGACCAACCACTCGTCCGTGATCCACGAGTACTACGCGCGGGAGTGTCGCGAGCCGGTGCACGTGACCCTGGACACTTCGCTGCAGGGTGCGCGCATGGGTCTGCGCGCCTACGTGTGCGTCGCGCTGGGGGTGCCGCGGGGCAAGCAGGGTTGCATGTTCACGCCCATCGATGTGCAAGTCACCAGCTATGAACCAGAGGTGCGACAGGGGAAGCTGCTGCTTCACAATTATTACAATTATTTATTTTAAACGACAGCTAGTATTAAGTGTTAGCTGTTTCGTTGCAGGTAGTCGGTTTGCAGTTGTGTCAGAAGACAATGGGACCTGGAGGGCGCTCGAGGCAGGTGCAACCGGCGCTCGACCTCGCTCAGGTGGCCGAGGCCGCCACTAAGCTCTCCTCGCTTCTAGAGCAGGTAATCACTTATAGCTTAGCGATGGGACGACTTGTATTTGTTTCACCTCGAGTTGACGTGACGCTGACTCGAGTTAACTCGACCCGGTGTCTGACGGAGCAACCGTGCGGCGCGAGTAGAACTCGAACCGACGATTCACCGAGTTAGACACGATCGGCCGGCTGACCGCGACTCGGGCGTGATCGAAAGTCACCGAACCGACCGAGTGAGAACGAATAGTCGACGCGCTGTATGAATGAAACATTCGACTTGACTCGTTATACGAGTAACTCGAGTTAACCGAGTTAAATCATAACTCCACTCGCCTATCGCTATTATAGCTATGACTACAAGATAAGTGATAATAGAGACTAAAGGTCGTATTCTAGAACTCTATTCAATGCTCAAGTCAGGATTGCACTGGCAACACAAGCACTGGAAATACGACACTAATGGCAGGGACTTGAGTATGATTTCGAGTGCTTTAAACCATACTCAAATCCTGACTTGAGCATTGAGTAGAATTCTAGAATACTACCATCAGTCTGTTAAGGCATATAAACAGGCTACACCGTTACACAGGTCGCGACTCTAAAATTGAGACTGGAGATTTGAGTTTTTATTAATAACACTTGGCCGTTATAATAACAGACTTGACGATTCGAGTTATTTTTAACAAGGTTCGCGCCTTAGGCCGCAGCAAGCAATCTCTTTCACTGGCCAATCTTGACGCACTGAACAAAGCACCACTTCACTGTTTCGAAATACCTTCGGATCGGACATTTCTAGAGAAGCTTGGTAAGTAACGTGTTTCAATATTTTAAATGCAGGGTGAAAACTCCCTATGCCAATTTTGTATGGTTTTGGAAAAAACTTATTTGAAAGTTCTTCCATTTTTACACTTAGTAATTACAAAAATTATTAAAACTCAAAAAATTATAATGCTATTGAATTTGTTTTGAACATGATATTGAAATGAATTTAAAACACTCTTGTTAAGTTTTGGCGCTTCCAAAATATAAGCGTAAGTTACGAAAATCGAATATTTCTGCATTTAGAATATTAAAACACGTTACTTACTAAGCTCCATTACAAATCCCCGATCCGAATGGATTTCGAAACGTTGTGCACTTGTATAAACAACACGTACGCTGTACGCTCCTAACATCGCTCTGCTGTACGCGCCGGCGCCGTTCCGCATTTGCGGCCTTGTCGCGAATCGTGCATGATATTCAAAAACAGCTCGCAAGCAAGTTGATGATGAAGATGATGTTAGTAATACAGTCCTGTATACTTAACCTTTTTTTTTACATACCTAGTGACGGGGCGAACAAGTCGTGCGCCTTACCTTACCAAAGCGATGCCCATCCGTAACAGTTGCAGTGCCACTTTGAGCCTTAAATCGCAAAAATCTTAGGGTCCCTGAGACATAAGTTGACAAGCATGTGCCCGTATTTCACCTTACCCTTCCAAACCGGAACGTTTTTTTTTGTTTTGTTTACATGACATACTGAAAACAAATATCTTGATCAGCGGTTCCGGTGAATTCCAATTCGCTGACCTTTATTTAGCCCTAACAAAACTACCCCGGAATTGAAATACATAATTCTTGTGTGAGTGGACGAAGGTGGAAAAAGAAGTGACTAATTGAATAAAAATATTTGAATTGCCTAAATGTAAATGATATATGTATGTAGAGGTTCCGACGACACACGCCGCACGACTCATAACTCGTCACTCCCGAGACTCGAAGGCGCCAGCCTTTCAGTCCTAAAGCCTTTTGAGTAACAACTTAAATTTTGATTCCTGAGGTTAAGACTTCGATTCAAATGGATTTTTAGTTTTTATCTTATAAGTCAAGACTTAAGGATTAAAGATTAGTCGTGAACCGTTAAAAATTAATCGAGCTTTTTTAACAGGCCTTAACCTCACTAAAACGGCCCAGTACCTGCATGGTAATTCGCCGCGCAGGCAGGAGACTGTTCACATATTATGGCCCACGTCAGGAGTCTCGCAGGTTTGCAGGATGGCTTGCACGCTGCGACTACACTCATAATGCTGCATTACGGGGCGGACGGCAAGGCGGACTGCGATGTAGGATAATGAAGCCCCCCTTTAAAACCCAGCAAATTACAATGGGAAAATCGCTAAACGCCCAGTGTAGTGTACTAAATATAATTACATGCTTCAGGCCCTAGGAATATGTCCTCAGTTTTTTATAAAAAACGCAACCGAGATTTATTGAAGTATTTTTCTAGGGGTAATTTTTTTCTAGATACCCTATGGTCTTACAATATATACCGGGTAGAACAGAATGACCGACAAAGCCTAGAACTGTGATGTCTTAAATTTGTACTTAATTGTACTGAACGTCTTTTTACTCTAAGTGTAATAGTTTCCAAGTTATTCAATGACAAAGATTTGCTCGAAAAGTCTGTGTTGTCCTTAATTAACCTTATTATTATAGTTAACCTTACATCATAAAACAACAGCTGTTTGGAGGCAACTACCGGGAGGTACTCAGGGCAAAAAGTTTGTAATTTAATAGGTCTTTGACCTCCTTCGTTGATTACATAGGGAGCACTATAAGTTTCCGGAACTGGCCACTTACATAAACAATGTTTAAAAAGTAATTACAACATTTGAAAATGGGACTCTTTGGCTGTCTACAGCATACAGTTTGTTTCATCTGACTGTCACTTGTTTTTACATTGTGGCGTCATTTTAGAAATTGGTTGTCTACATCACCATGGATTTGACTCGTGAAAATTTTCGTAGTATGATTTTCTACGACTTTAAGTGTAATTCAACAGCTCAGCGGAGCTTCCCTCGGTTTCAAACTGCTTTTGGCGATGAAGCACCATGCAAGACGTCTATTTATAGCTGGTTTGCAGAATTCAAACGCGGTCGTGTGAATCTCAGTGATGAATTTAATGATGGTCGCCCGTCAACTGCTGTGAACAACAGAAACATCAATGCTGTGCGCCGGTGTGAAAAAGCTGTGCTCTCAGTGGATCCCACACAATTTTACTGAGGCTCAAAAAACGGATCGCGTCATTTGGTGCAATGCCATGCTTACCAGAATCAACGAAGGGGCGTTAAATTTGGTTTGGGACAGTTACAGCTGACGAAACATTGATTTATAGTTACGATCCCAAAACAAAGCAGTTATCGAGTGTGTGGTTCTTTCGAGATGAGCTGAAACCAACCAAAGTGGCGCGCGTGCAAAGTGCCTCTAAGCGGATGGTTGCTTCTTTTTTGAATAAAACTGGACACGTGTATACTGTTGCTTTGGAGAATCGTTGTACCGTGAATAGTGATTGGTACACGACCATTTGTTTGCCGGAAGTTATTGACAAACTCCGTAACAATAACCGTAAACGCCGTATCATCTTGCACCATGGTAATGCCAGTTCTCACACGGCCAGACAGACAAATGAATTTTTGAAGGTGAACAACGTTGACCTTATGAGCCATCCCGCGTACAGTCCCGACCTGTCACCTTGGGACTTTTATTTATTTCCAAAAATTAAGAACCAGTTACGCTGTCAACAATTTTCATCACCTGAAGAGACTGTCGAAGAGTATAAAAAATATGTTTCACAGATTGTCACGGAGGAGTGGCATAAGTGTTTTCAAAATTGGTTCATTCTTATGAAAAAGTACATTAACGCTAACGGAGAATATTTTGAGAAACAATGAATTCATTTCTGACCATTTATAGTATTTTTTTGTTATTCATTCCGGAAACTTATAGTGCGCCCCACGTAGCATCCCATCAGCCACTTTCTTTGATCAATCATGTGAATGATGATTAATTATGCGGGAATTTTAATTTATTACTTCGAAAGTAATTAACACCCCTAACTTCCATGTTTGACGACCCAATATTTAAATGAAAATGACCCAATATTTAAAGAGGTGCTCTCATGGAACCTTTGGGAAACTATTGTTTCTAAACTATGCGTTGTCATAAACTACCTTAGTTTTTAAACTATGATTAAACTATAGTTTTCTAAATGACCCTGACAGGAGTTCAACTCGTATTGTCTGCGTCACGAGACTATTATTTAAATATACATTACTAAATTAAGTAAACACGTTCTACATATAAGTCAGGTACACAAATTACAATAGTCTCGTAACCCTTAATCCGGCCCTAACGTAAAGTAGCAAATTAATGCAGCCAATCACGTGACTTATCACCGCTTATAGTTGCACTTGTTACCTGTTATTTGTTTTTGGTAGCATAATCAGGAGATCGTTTTATTTTACTAGTCTGTTTTTCAATGCATTTGGAAACATTTTAATTCACACTACAAGAATTTACTAACTTTAAAATGAAGAGTTCTGTTACTAAATTTCTGTTAACTTGAGCTAAGTAGTTGAAAGAAGGATGGCGAAAGCTGGCCCAAAATCAACGAAGTGCCATTCATAGATTCTGCTAGTATAATTTTACGTTTCAGTTTATGCCTAGTTATCAATATTGAATTAGAAGTCGGGAATAAAGAAATTGCAAAACAATGTATTTTAGAATAGCTGCAAGAATACAACGCAATTGATTCAGTTCGACCATAGATTAGGTAACGTTCTTGTACGTACGTTTTGTTTTAAGCATAATTGAATGTTTACCTACCTAAAGTATTGATTATTTTATAGTACACACATAAAACATTAAAGCTATAATATACCTAATCAAATAATCAATTAAACAATAATGTTGTAAAGCAAAAAATCAAACTCAATGTAACAAAAATGTTTAGACAATATTTAAATGAGAGATACGAAAGTTAGCAAAGAAACGTTTTGACAAGAGGCCTCTTGCCACTTTGAGATTGAGAACAGTGTGACCATTTATGGCAGATTTCAAATAAGTATGGCAGATTTTAGATAAGTTCATAACGCCCAGCTGATGGTCTCATGTTTACAGCACAAAACAACGTTTACTCATTAATTTTTGGGTTATTACACCAACTTATTGAAATAGTGCTATAGTATTAAGTAGTGTTTGTGTTAAGCAAGTAAAGTGTATTAGTGTACACAGTGTTTGTGTGGAAAATCACATCGGCGTGTGACCGGCACACCCAGGAATGTGTCTGGAATGTCTTCAAGAGTAAAGGGGATGTGGACAAATCGAACACCCTTTTAATTTAAACTTAGTACAAGGTTAGGTTCTTTCTCACTTTGTATTTCTCCCGCGAGTGCCAATGACACGAACGCCGCCTGTGGGGCGATAGATGTACTAACGTCAATCATTCGCTTAGGGTTGTTGCAACGCGAAAAATTTACATCTGGACGAACATTTTACAACATCTCTGATTGTACATTTAATGTAAATAAAACTTATGTTAGCAAGGTTCTTAAGGTGATACTTTCGGCTTTGTTGGTCATTTCGTTCCACCCTATATTAGATATGAGCGCCGCCGCCGCCGCCGACAAGTGCAATCGGCGCGCCGTTCAGTTCGATCAGGCGCTCCGATCGTACGCACGCGCACGCTTCCGTATTGTGTATGTGGAAATAGCGACGCCAGAAAATGACTTTTCTAAGATAAAACTTTTTTTTAAATAAAATGTTAGTTCGCATTTGACCTCCAAATCACGTGATGGAAAGTGACGATGGAGCATGCACACCTAAATAATGTCTATTCACTTTCGCCTTGAAAAGACCCCAACTTATAACGTTCTGGGAACAAGTCTGCAAGCAGGAAATTCCACTCCAAAGACGTTCGCCTTATAAATGTGGAAGCGTAACGCTTCGTGCGAATCTTTGGAATATCCAAAACATAGGGGTGGAAGCCAAGCGTACGCCTAATCCCCCGATGATGGAAAGGGGAAGGCGGAATTGAATCGTGTAATTTCATCGCACACTCTCTGTGATATATATCCTGTAAAATACCTATAAGCTGGCAACTTTACGGCGGTGTTCAAGGCTCTGCAGCTTCGCCTCCACTAATTCCGAGTCACCTATAAGCTTCTTGGTACGGTTGTCAATTGAATCCAAGGTGGCCAGTTGGTATGTAGCAGAGCCACCCTAAAGGTGGCAGCAGTACTCCATGCACGACCGGACTTGTGCTTGGTAGAGCTGAAGTAACTGTCCCTTTGTCCCTGTCTACGGAGAGACTACGGGCTCGACGGCAAGACCAGGGTATAGCGGGCGTCCTTGCCAAGCCCTCCGCCAATGACACGCCTTAGCTTCTCTGGCGGACCCGGACTTGGGTATGAACTCGCTGGAGTTTGCGTTTAGCTGCAGAGACGGACATGTTTGCATGTGTGGTTATTGGGATCTGGAGAGACGTCGTTTTTCTGCGTCTGGAAGTGAGCGTGCCTTACAGCTCCGCCACCAATGAGATTTGGTAGTGGACTCAGAGTCGACGGCGGTTGCAACTACTAGTTGTGCAATGCGCAACGGGAAGTGAGCGTGCTTACAGCTCCGGTACCTATCTGGAAAATAGGGAGGGTACTGTACGTGCACCCGGGGCGGCTCACCCTAGGCCCTAGCATCTCGAAGAACCGGATGAAGTCCCGGAAGGATCCCAAGCTTCCTTGCTGCATGTTTGTGCGTTGCGTGCGTGCGTGCGTTCGTTGCGTACGTGCGTGTGTTGTTGTGTGTAAGAGTTTAATCATCTTAACTTGTTGCTTTACTATCGCATTAGGTTAAACCTGTCTTGACAGTTTGTGTTTTTAAAAATAAATAAGTAAATTAGAATGCGATATTTTCATTATAATGTACACTAGGGTTTACACAATCATAGGAATAATATTCTGGGTCCGAACCAGATAGCATGTTATGTACATTTTGATGTACACGGGGCCTTAGGAAGTCAAAAGTCTCGTCCCTTTCATCCCTGCTACAGCAAGTGAGCCATCATTTGTGCTCTGTGACTGTAGCACTCGTGATCGGACAGGTGCTGCAATATGTGGAGGACGTGCTGGCGGAGCGTGTGCCACCGAACAACGCGGCGGGCCGGCAGCTGCTCGAGCTCGTCAACTCGCTGCCCAACCTCTCTGCGGACACTTTCGCCGACGCCTTCGCGTCCAGCGTCAAGGATCTGCTCATGGTAAACATTATTCACTAGCTGTTCCTGCAACTTCGTCAACGCAAGTATTTAAGCAACTACCTTAAAATTACAAAACGTTTTATCGCATTTGTGATGCCTTGACAGTGCGTCAATTTCGGAAAATATGATTCAAATCTTTCGATCGACGTCGTCTTCCAATCTCGCTGCCCTAAACGCCACTTTTCAGTGGTCTCCTTAAAGTATCTATAACCTCGCCTCGCTACATATCCATTCCGACCCATTTGAGCGCAGCAGCATAATAATAAGCTTATAATGACTCCAAGGTTCGGAGTGCCCTTATAATAGCCGTTATATTAATATTATTAACTGCCTCCGGGGCCGAACCATGCCGGACTGCCACGCAGCGGTCCTGGGTTCGATTCCCAGGCCGGGAGAAGTATGTGTATGGCCTACATTTATTTCTCTCGCGAGTTTGGGTATCATTTGTGGTTATGTGTGTGTCCATGGCACCCGCGACACAGGGTTTCCCTAGTGCGGGGCTATGAGTGTGTTGCGTTATTATATTTATTATTATATCATTATTCATGAAATGCAGTCTGTACATACCGTATGTGTGTCTGTCAAAGAATGCCCGATAACAAAGTTGTATATTTGTTGCAGGTGGTGACTCTAGCTCAACTCATCAAAACGCAGCTGCAACTCAATGAGAAATTAACGTTGTTGACGTCACAGTGACGATAAATCCTTGGCCATTTCACGTCAGCCCCCGCATCGCCACAATGGCACATGTTCACAAAAACGTGTACATTACTGTCATACACTAAAACCGGGTATTCATTACCGAGCTGTAAATGTAACGCGACAGATACAATAACGAGGTTCTAGCGTGTGCGCGTGAAACAGTCTTCACTCTCTAGAATGAGTACCTGGTTGTCGTCGGCTCACGGCTAACTGCACGAATTGAGCTCGCGAATCCACGTACACACTATGACTTTTTCATCACACTTGCAATAAAACCTTTTTTCTTTCCATTACAGCCATAGTCGGTAAGGAGTGTTTTTTTTTATTTGTAACGTCATACTTCCTTACATAGATTCCTTACATACATCAGGTTCGAGTTCAAGCAAGGAAGTTACTTAAGTTCAAAACGAAAACATTCGCTTAAAATGTTATCTAAACAGAAATTTAATTGCAATTCAACCACCTTTTACTTAAATACTTAATATTAAGAATTATTATAATTCATTTTAACTATTTTTTGTTTAAAAGTTTACAATTTTTTTTACAACCCAACATGGGCAACCTTATCGAGTTCTTAAGTTTTCGCGATTGTTACACATTGGAAATAAAACTATTTTTCCGGATTTAAATCGCTTATATTTGTTTTTTCAAACAAACCATTTTGTTTGAAAAAACAAATATACGCGATTTAAATCCGAAAAAATAGTTTCATTTCCAATGGGCAACCTTGCTTTTTACAAAATTTCTTTCTATGAAAAAATAGCTAGGTGGCCATCTGTTGATAAAAAAACCGCCATTTGCAAAATACATAATTGTTGTGAACCATATGAATTATTCATACAAGAAATAAACATTGTATTTATTTCATTGCAAACGTGATGAAAACTTTGTATCACGAGTTTTGTGTAATTGGCCCTCGTCCTTAATTCACAATGTGTACTATTGGTAAACGTAACATACAACGCAACAACGATTATAACTCGCTAGTAAGTACCCGGCTTTAATATCAACCATTCCAGCCGACTACTGTAACTAATAAATGTGAAAACAAAATGGTATTTTTATTTACTCAAAATAATTTATTGCTCAATGTTCATAATATCTAAGCAGGTATTTAATTATTTGTACAAACTGAATAAAACTACAGCGATAAATGAATACGATGGGAAGTAGACGTGGGTACGGCGGCAGCGGCTACTTGTCGGCCGCGGGTGTGGCCATGGTGTGGATGCGGATACCATGCATCTCGGCGATCTCACTCTTGAGCGAGTCGGTCACGAGCTGGTGCTGCTTCACGCGCGACAGTCCAGCGAACTCCTTCGCCTCCACACTCACCTGCGCGTTTTATCAAGATATTGCATTACGTTGCAGTGTTTTTGCTGTTAGTTGTGTAGTTATAGTGTTGTCGCTGTGACAGTATGGGGAAACCCGAAACAATACACGGAACCCGCCCCAGGAACCATTAAGTCTTTTTTGTGAAAATAATTTTGGCACAGTAAATTTTTGGTCAAGCGTGAGTTGGAAATAGAACTGGTTATTTTTTAATGCTGATCGACTCAGTTTCATGTAAGTAAAGATCATTTAATGGTATTGGAAGAAAAAACGGGGCAGCAGAAGTTGATGTTAAAAGTTTGTCATGCAAAATGAATAAAATTTACTAAAATTTTTTTTAATGCTGATACTCAGATTCTTATAGGGATAATTTCATTACATCAGAAGAAAAAATCTGGACAGCAAAAGTTTGTCAAATTGAATAAAATTCATTTTGGAAGAAAAAACTTTTTATTAAATTTGACCAATTTGTGCGGTCCAGATTTTTTCTTCCAACAAAATAAGATTATTCTTACATGAAATCAGTCGATCAGCACTAAAAAAAGTAATTCTCAATTTTATTTACTTTTATGGACAACTCACGCTTAACCGATAAATATACTACGAAAATATTGTTATCACATAAAAAGACTTAATGGTTTATCAAAGTTTTCCTGTATCTCTTACAGTTTCGCATTTCCCCATACTGTCCCAGCTAAAAAAAGCACTTTTTAATTCTCATGGGACTATGCCTCGCCCAATGAGCAGTAGGTAGAGTTTAATCAATATGACGATTTCAAGTGTAATTTGCTTATTTTATTTTATTTCGTTTATTGCATTGTCACACTTATATTAATCTAGGTACAGTAGGTTTTAAATGTACATGTGACACCCTATAAGGGCACAGCAAGTTTGTGAGGGTACCATTATTACAAAATTGTCAAATAATAGTAAAAATAATAATTGCATAAAACTATTATAAAGCTAAATAAATTTGTTCGTATAATAGATAACAGATATTGAAACATTTTAAATTACATTTCGTCCTCGAGAAATTCCTTAACACTATAATAATTTTTATTTAATAGAAATTCCTTTAAACGTTTAGAGAAAATTTTAAAGTCTTTCGTTTCTTTTAAATCAGTTGGTATGTGATTATATACTTTGGTTACCATACTTTGAGGTCCTGAACAAACTAATTTTAATTTAGAAAATTGTACTTGTAGCTGATGAAGGTCTCTATTGTTGCGCTTATTCCCGGTTTTTGGAGTAAATGAAGTTGGATGGTTTCTAACAAATTTGCACGACTCGAATATGTATATATCTGTTAAAGTTAATATACCTAGTTTTTTAAAGAGGGGTTTACAAGAGTCTGTCCGTTCACTACTCGTCAGTATCCTAACACACTTTTTCTGTACTACTTACCTATGAAATAAAGATGGTTTGAATTTGTATCCAGTGCCTACTCATCTATAGTAATAAAATAACAATTTACTTCACCCCCATGTTTGTACGAGATACATTTTTTGTACTATCCATGATGCAAGTAAATAAATAAATATTCCTGTAGTATTTATGTTACGATATAGGTAAATATGTTCTTTTATGGATTCAATAAGTGACTTATGTTAGTACTAGTATTATCAGAGAACAAAAAGTAACGAGAATGGACACTCTCCGCCCCTCCCTAACTTTAGATACCGCACTACACCCCGCACATTGACTGAATGACAACAAGGCTGTTTGGCGAGCTGTTTTCGCGCTAAAACGGCTTTGATATTAGAAATTTTCATTTATTCATTACGAAACTGGTACGTCAATATATGACATCATTTTACGTTACTAATTATAATGGTCGTGAATTGTGCTGTGTATGGCTGTCTATCATCATTTAAACAGGATAAAGAGAGGAGTTTCTTTCGTTTTCCGAAAGATGAAAAAACTTATGTCCGAGACTCTGACAGTCGTTGTTTTCTTCATTTATTTAGTGCAGAGTAATATATAATACAGATTTATTATATCAATATAATAAGACGCCATAACTTTCTTCAGCTTTTCGAATTTTCAATTTGTATTACCAACTCAGATTACAAAATATAGGCAGAACACGAAGGCGAAAAGTCACTAATGCAAATACAAATTCAAAAGCGAATACAAACTCGCGTCAGTACTAAGCACAGCGTCGCATTGTTTGCACTTCACGAGTGATTATCGTCGTCACCCATCGAGTGTATAATCAGAAATAGAGACGAAATAAGGGCCATATATTCCTGGTAACACATTAGTGGTACAGCTCTTATAAATATCAACTCTCGTTTGCACTGAGACGCCAACTACTGACCTGTGTGTAGGTCTCCGTATATTCCAAAAAATATTCTGTATTTATTGTAATAAAGATAATATCTCTAACAATGCCGTGCTGTTCTATTCGGTGGTGTGGGAAAAACAACAAAACGTCTAATTACAAAACAAACGGAATCATATTTCACCGGTAATTAAATATTTAATACGTAATTTTTCAATTACCGTCCATTATAGCATAGCTCAAGTTAAACTGGTCGATTTGCAGTGAAACAATTGACAACACCCATCAATTATTTCAAATCATTTATGCGTCTTGCTTCCACCTAATGCAACTCCCATTACGTCATGTCATTCTATTCATTGGGCACGCGTTGCTAGTGTTGCACTGAAAAAATCATATTATGTATCGATATTTGCAAGTATAATTATTACTGTATAATGATTTATTCAAACAATCAGTAAAGTAAAAAATGTACATCTAACGTCGTCGTAGTTAAGTATTGAGCCATGAGTATAACGTATCGATTTTATAAGTATGTCAGATTATCCAAAAGAAACACTAAGTATTACGTGATAGATTGTCGTTCGTTTTTATTGCTCAAGAAAATTGTTTTTGTTTGAGAGTATATTTATATATTTAACTTCTTATGGCCGTGTGGTGTTGGCCTAGTAAAATACCACCCCATGTCTTTCCTTGGATATCTTCTCAACTAACATACTGCGATCACCTATTCACCATGCAAGTGTGGTGATTGTGCCAAGTCCCCGAGGATTCCAGACGGTTTATGGGTTTTGGGGAGACCCATGGGCAGTTAGTATTGTGTATTGTCAGTTGTTTTGTTTAAAATACGTGGGTACCGAAAAAAACTTAGTATTTTTGTATTCTTTTTGAAGATTCCTAAGGATCCGGGTCTTTAGGAAAAATGGATTGCTTCCACGAAAAGGGAAAACTGGTTTCCGAGGAATTACAACATCGTTTGCTCTCGGCATTTCACAGAAGACTGTTTTTATACAAAGAACATTCGCCGCCGCTTATTTGATACCGCAATTCCTACACTGCATATGCCTGTAGTAGTAAGTACATACGTAATCCGTCTAATTTAACTTTATTAAACTTATATTATTTATAGACTCGACTTTTTTACCCCTTCAAAGTAACCACAAGTTCTGAATGCGCTCCGGAAAATGCAAGTCCGATACCATCATCGTCTCAAAATGAACTTTTACCAACTACACATAGGGCAACTAAACGAAAAGCTGTCGATCCATGCAGACGTTCTAGAGTTGACAAGTCAGGTTAAGCATAAAAATAAGACTATTAAGGCACTACAAGATAAAGTACGTCACTATAAAAAGAATTAGAGATACAAAAAATTACAAAAGCGGAAGACGGCAACACTTTAAAGAAAATTGGTGTGCTTAATGAAGAAATCGTAGAACGTCAATATCTAAAATACCGAACAAGGAAAATTGCAAAAAAGAAATATTCGCCAGAATTGAGGTGTTTCGCTCTTACGTTGAGTTTTTATTCGACAAAAGCGTATAAATATGTAAGAAGTACATTCAGGACTTGCTCACTCGGAATGACTATGGATTCTAATAATACTACACAAATCGAAATCCGTAAAAAAAACAAGTAATGGTTATAATTATTAATACGAAGATCGAACACTCAGAAAAAATTCCTTCGATCCGGTCGGATTCGAACCGACGTCTTCTTTCATACAGTGCCAGACGTTATACCAACTAAGCCACGGAACGGACCTCACGAATTTGTCTATGTGCTTGCGTCGTGTCTTTGTACTTGGTCTTTCAACGACTTTTTAGTCGTAGCGCCATCTATGAAAGTTTTATCACCCAGTTAGGTATCTTTACAGTTACCAGTCCTGGCGAGAGATGTCGCTATTCACTGTATTTTAATTTTTTATTGAATTGATATTCAATTATTTCTTGTGAAATTACTCCACTAGTTTGTTATATTTATTAATACAAAGATCGAACAGTCAGAAACAATTCCTTCGATCCGGCTGGATTCGAACCGACGTTCCTTAGCTTACCGTGCCAGACGCTATACCAACTAAGCCACGGAACGAACCAGCGGACCTCACGATTTTTTCTATGTGCATGCGTCGTATCTTTGCCGTGTTGCCTATGCTCCATCTGCCTGTTTTGTAGTCTGAGGCCGATAAATACAGTGTGTGGTTTGCATTCTCGCCATATTTAGGAAACTAATAATAGAAATAATGCTAAATCATCTAAAAATATTTAAAAAACTATTCTGTTCAATATTCTGGCTAATTGTATCGAGTGCAAAATTGTCTCAAGTCGTATGCACCACGCGAGACTAGTGACCCCGGCATCCGCTTCATCGAGCGATACGTGATTTTACTCGATCGCTTATTTACCTATTTTTTCAATAATGCTTATGTACTTGTATTGTTATAATTTACTCTTATTTACATTAATTAGAAAAGTTGACTGAAAATAGTTTTTTGTAACTTAGATTTGGTACTTAGAAATTTACGTTACATGAAAGTATTGCTAGAAGTACCTAGCTCCACAGCCGGTGGCTGGATACGTACCGGAGCCAAAACCAGCTATGCAGAGATTCGCATGTGAGTTTCATTTCGACATTAGACTCCACAACTTTGAAAGCAGAAACTTCGATACTCGTATCCTCTACGTAAACTAAACGTTTCACATGCACGCACTTGTACTTGATGGATTACCATGCACGTTCAGGCCAATCTGGTAGCGGTTCTTTGTTGCACTACTAACTCTTGTTTACATACCAAACCTCGTACCATTTCGTGACACGGGGTTTACTCTCGTTCTCCGTCCGACATCCGTCCGAATCAATTGCTGTCAAATAAGTAATACTCGCCCAATTTAAAAGATGCATGATTCGAATGAAGTTTCATACCTTGACATTGTCTTTTTATTTGGTCGAGTTTTACTTATTTGGCAGTAATTGTTTCGGACGGAATGTCGGATGGAGAACAGGAGCAGACCCCCAGACTAGAATAGAATGTATGTGGGATGTCAGCGTGACGTAGACGCAGTACAAGCAAGAAGCAAGGTCGACTGATCTATCAATCGCGCGCTCGATACGACACCCAGCCGTCGCTACCTGCACCCCAACCACCAAATAGACCTAAAATGCGTTTCTTTGTTCTAAATGTTTGCAAGTGCCGTACAAGTCAATGACCTTTGGATCAAATTTGTTTACTGCAATGAAATAAAAAAGTGGACTTTACGAATTTTTTTTTTTTTCAATTTATTTTTTAGGGATTTGGGTTTATTTTCGGATACAGAATGACCCCTGTAAATATAGCGACAGTGCAAATCAAGACATTGTATTAAGTAGTGAATATACCTAATTATTAACCAGATAAACTTGGACACGCAATTTCAAATACCTTGGTTACCTTATTTAAAAGTACCTGTCCAAAAGATAACATTTTAAGTGCTTTTTTAAATATATTTTTTTTAAATAAATCTTCAATATTATTCTAGTTAGTGAAGTAATGAAAAATATAATATTATATCGATATAAATAGGTACCTAACAAACATGTGTAATTATTAGGATTGTATTAATAGAATTAAAGATAACAGATTTGCGTTAGAATTTTCACTATGCTGCCGCTCTGACCAATTACTATTACTATTACAATTAGGTGATGGGTAACCCTGCCACTTTAGACACACATTTGCGCGTGTGCAGATAGCGCCTTGCTGTATGTAGTAATAAAATAACTTTTGACCAGAGGCGGCTCGTCTTAAGGAGCGCTGGTGCAGTGAACTCCCACTCCAATCCAACCCACCAAAATAAATTTATTAATTATGCTTTCAAATTACGTTAGTAGCCGCAGTATTTTTTTTATTAATGATAGATAAACATGCAATTACATTTTCATCTTTCTCTTTAATATAGTACAGCAATGGACAAGTTGCCTACAAAATTCAGTACTGAATTCAATGAGTGCGAAAGTGAAATTTCTTAACGGCGCAACACGTGAAACAAAATATTAGTATGAGGAAATTAGCAAGATTTCATAATCAAACGCGCAAATAATCAAACCGTATTTTTTTCGCGCGCACTTTTGTTGCGTTGTAAAAATTATTATTATTCAATCGTTGTTAAGAAGCGTAGTGTTGTTTAGTGGCATTGTTTAAAATGTAACCATATAATGTGAGTTTCATTTTTTATCCCCAACTCCCACTGAAATCTCCTACAAGCCGCCTATGCCTTTGACCGTTGTATGGAGTGTCCGGGGTGTGGTAGTATCTTAGTACTTCGTGTTTGTCGAGATTAATCTCACCTGATGGAAAGTAATGATGAGGTTAACAATGGAGCTTGCGCACCTGTATAATGTTTACAGACTATCTTATTATCTTATCCTAAGCATACAATAGTATACACCATACAAGATACCAAAACCACTATTGTGATGAGATATTATGAGAGAGTTCACCTCGAACATGGCACCGCAACCACCAGAAATATCCTGCACGCTGACGTAAGTGATGCCGGGCAGTGAACGACGCAGCGCTGTGCTCAGTTGCTGCTCTTTTGTGACGCTGTTACGCGAGAAGGCACTGTTGCCGACAGCAGCGCCGGCACCTGCGCTGCCACCCTCGCCTGCTACGCGAAACTGTCACAAATTTGTCAGTTATAATTCCTGTCAGTCTAGAATGCGTTATTAAATCCAGTATAACATTATAATGCAAATAAAATAACAAACATAGAAATATTTAGACCAGCAGTTGTAACATAGATATAGAAAAAAAGGGGAGATATGTAATGACGTTATGTAAGATCGGGTACCGATGTCGCCACTTTTTAGCTTGTGTGCAATTCAAACTTTACGCTCTATATCTACTACCATAACTTAAAGATTTTGATTGGGTAGGGCTTAAAACGTGAAAACAACGTAACACAATTTTAAAATTTAACAAAATTAAACTTACAGTCACTTGAGTAAGAATTATATTACAATATTTCAGTATTTTTTTCATCCTGTTTCAGCCAGTCACCATCAGGTGGCGTTTTAGTAAAAATGCTACTAGTATATAATAGCTAACTATTACACGTTAGATGGCGCTGAAACACTTCATTTTTCGTTACACTAAGAACTTACGGAGCGGTTTTCACCCACGCCTGCCGCAGTCCGTGCGCATCTGTAGAATGTGATAGTCAAGTATGTAAAATTTACTAATTTTACGGCGCGTTTTACGCCTGTAGTGGTGACGGTTGCTCGCGGTTACCGCGGCGGGGTACTAGTAGAACCGCGCAGGACGCGATCACCTGCGCGCTTGGCGGCCGTCGTCGCTCGCGCACTTTGGCGGTTGGTTCAGGCGCAAGTAAGCCTGCATTACTTGCGCCTGAATGCGGAATGGGTTCTCTATTAACTACGCGACTTGCGATTAACTCCCACTATTATTATTATATTTATTTTAGACTCTCGCCTCTCCCAAGGCCTGAAAGATTAATTTTGAATTTTTAAATGGGAGAGGCGGTATTTCTCACTCGGGACTCAGGTCCAAGAACCGGCGAACAATACGTGCCGTATCGAGCAGGACCGCCTTCTGCATTTGTGCTGGAAGCGACACGCTACAGAAATCCAACCGCCTCAAGCTGTTAGAAAGGCTGAATGGAATTAACCTATTTACGGACAAAACAATTGAGAGTATTTCAGTTGAGGCCACATCCCACATGTCGGTGATCTCGTGCGCCAGGTCGAGATACTTCCGGCGTTTCTCGGTTTCAGCTTTCAAGAGACCCTCGTCATGCGGGATGGTGACGTCCACAAGAAATACCCTCGACTGCGATCGATCCAATACCACAATATCAGGCTTATTCGCAAGAATAGTCCTGTCCGTGATAATAGATCGATCCCAATAGATTTTGGTGCGGTCATCTTATCTTATCTAGTCAGGTCTTTTGAATGCTTAAGACCCTTAGTATGTAGCCACACGTCACGGGAGACGTGTGCGCTCTCGTTCAGCAAAGTGAGCTTTGCCAGGCTTTCTGCTATCCCTATACAGGGCTCAGGACCAATGAAGGCCTCCCTAGAACCAGCTTTTGCCGGTTCATCCGCTGCTTCATTACCCTCGATGTCAGAGTGACCAGGAACCAAACGCAGGATCACATTATTCCTTTCCCCAAGAGTATTCAGTATAGTTACACAGTTCTCTACAATCCTCTAGGTTTGAGTGACTGAGGTTAGTGCATGCAGAGCGGCTTGACATCTGAGTTTATACAGGCTGTATATTTGAAAGTGGGACATACTTATAGAGTGCGTTATATTCCTGATTCTGAACCCAAAAAAATAATACAGTAATGAACTTAAACTTTACAAAAAAATATTATTTTTTATCGACTACTACTTGTGAACAACATTAATTATCGAAATCTATGCACATCACTATTATTGCTCCGACGAAACGGCGAGCTGCGGCACGAAGGTGAAAATCAAAGCACAGGTCGGGCGCGGGCGCATAAAGATATTGCACGCGCGACCTTGGTCTAGTGAAGATACTTAAATTATTTGTACTTCCGCTTGCTTGCGCAAAATAGATATTTATTCTAACGTCGAATTAACTGAGATGGAGCGACTTTACGCAATAAGTGGTGATAGTGTGAGACGAGCTATTGACATGTTCCCAAATCGGAGTTGTACGCAGGAGGTGAACAGTGTCGAAGTGTTGCACGAGAGGATTATCTCCGCATTTTATACTATGAAACAAATTGCGTTTGTGTTGAACAATTTAAAACAAAATTTATTACGACGTGCTAGACTATGCGTTGTGGAAAACGGTGGACATTTTGAACACTTGCTCCGTACCACGTAAGTGTAAATAAACTGTAAATAACTAAAAATCAATCATTGTAAATAATTTGATTTCACATTTTTAACTACGCCGAAAACCTCAATTCTTATTAAATGTTAACTATAGTTACTAAATCATAAACTTATCTTTTTAGTACGTAAAATATTTCGACGATAGTTCAGAAGTAAAAAATAATTAGCATAAGCTGTTACGTTTTAACGTAATTATTTCGATAACAGCTTTTTTCATCATAACAGAAATATGCGTAGATGAGTAACTTAGTTTTTATTTTCTAGAGAAAAGAGTTTCTTTTAGTAGGAAGGGAGATGTGAAATCAATGTTATTGTTGCTGTCTCACTCGGCACTCGCTTGGTAGTATTCCCATTGCACTCGAAATCAAGCGTAAACGGAATCGGTTTATTCCTAATTATGTTAAGTAAGTACTCCAAAACAAATTTGTTGATTTATTTTTTGTTCTATCCCATATCCTAATTTTATTTTAGTCTATATTAAGTTGTAACATGATTTACTATGACATGTACGAATATGTCTCACTTTCAAATATACAGCCTGTATAAATATAATTGTTTATGTAGCCTCTCTTCAGGTTCAGATCCGCAAGACAAGCAATTATGGCGTATATTTGGGCCTGAAATTTATTTTTTATTATTATTATTACTTTCCCAGTCTTCCCTGGTTGGAAATTGTACCTGGTAGTTTCTTGAAGTTTTGCTTGGGAAGCATGACATCAGAAGTCATTCCCAGAATAGGATGTTTCAGAATTCAGTCCTGGGCCGATCTCAATGTCTGGGAGAGCCATTTAGTCCTTACCCTGGTGGAGAGTCCATACATGCTGTTACCGGCCTCTTTCTGTATGAATACATGTAGGGCAGTCAGATTCAGCAATGCATATAGGGCTGCTCCAGGTGTAGTGGACATAGCTCCCGTTCCTAGCAGGCACGCGACACGCTGTAGAATACCCAATGTGGCAATAGTGGTTGTTTGACTGACTTTGCCACTCCAAACAACTGAGGCATATGTTACTAAGGGCCTCACAATTGCCTTGTACAACCAGAGCGTCATCTTTGGTTTATATCCCAACGCTGTCCTGCCATACGACTTCAGATACCTAAGGGCATCTTGGCTTTGTTGACCGTGTTAGCTATATGACAGTTCCACCTTAGGGTTTGGTCTAGGGTTATCCCTAAGTATTTAACTTCTGCGGAAAAACTCACAGCCCTGCCACCAAGGATCGGTTCCACTAGCTCCAGTCCAATGTCCAGTTTCCACTTCCTAGTGAAGGAACTCCCACTCCCACTAACTTCGCGGTCCGTTCCGCAATCGCAACGGTTTCGTGCCCGCAACCGCAGCGGCTACGTGTCCGCACAAAGTTGCAGGGTCGTGAGTGTTGAAATAAAACGGCTGTCCCGCAGCACTGGCGGGCGGGGATGGAAACCGCTCCGTGAATTGTTAACCTTATTAACCTTAAACTGACGTTACTCAACGAGTGATGTGGTCCTACCTAATCGATAGAAATCATGTGGCTATTTTTAATATTAAAAAGAATATTCCATTTTTCATACTATACGTACACTGGTACTGGTGTATTGTTAAAATTATTTAAAAAATAAATTTAATAATAATACACCAGTACCAGTGTACCAGTGTATTAATATTAATATAAATTATTATCATTTTCATTAATGGCGGCCACTAGGCTTGGGTCAGTGTCAGTTTTATAAGAATAATATAAAAAATATGGCGATCGTCACCAGTGTCAGTTTTCCATTATACATTACCACGGGTTGGTGAAGCTGTCACTGGCAAGAGTAAACTAGTTTCATCAACGAATTTAAAAAATTATGTTGTTTTTTATGAAGGATTTATGTCATTTTCTATAATAATAATAATAATAATTTCATTTATTTCAGACCATGTCCATAGTGTGTTAGTTACAAAATCTTATAGCCTATGTTAGTATGAACAATTCAATAATAATAATAATAATAAACTACATTAAATTATAAACTAAGCCCCTGGAACCCATATGCACTAGGTTCCAGTGCTTCCAAAAAGCGCAAGCCGGCTGTTCCCAAACTGAATTCAGAAGGCTGTTGGAACCATCACGAAAACGTCGCATCAGGGAGGCTGATCTCTTGCGTATTATCGCACTGAAGGTGTCAGTACGCGCCTCCGCGAACATGCCTGATGCGCTGCAGGAGCGTGGCAGTCCCAACAGCATTCTGAACCCGTTATTATATTGTACACGCAGGGCGTTGGCCGCCCTTTTAGTGTAACTTGTCCACAGACTGCACGTGTAAAAGGTCTGACAAAACGCCTTAAAAAGGGTGATCTTGACATTCCCATTACAACGCGCAAACCTGCGGGACAACATATTACAGCGCACGGCCAACGCCCTGCGCTCCCTCTCCATGTCCATATCATCACGGAGACACTCGGTGACCCAATGCCCAAGGTGTTTAAAACGAGTCACTCTATTAAGAGGAGATCCACATAGATGTACTGGAGGGACAGAGACGAGGGTTTTGTTACCAGCCTTAAATACTAGTAACTCGCTCTTACTCGTATTGTACCTTAGGCCATGGGCCACCGCGTACTCCTCACAGACCCTCAGTAGTTTCACGAGCGCACTGATCGACGGGCACAGCAGCACCATATCGTCCGCGTAGCTTATGTTATTCAACATGGTACCCCCGATTGAACAGCCAATACCCGTGCTGCTGAGCCCAGCGATCAGCTCGTCCATGTACAGATTGAACAACCTAGGCGAGCTGAGCCCACCCTGTCTCACCCCACACTC